TACAAAAAAGAAGATCTTCTTGTTTTGACGTGATTTTTAAAGGTTTTAACGAATTTGAAGAGTTTTTCGCTTACTTCATACATTGAAACAAGAGAGTACGATAGTCAAGTAGTTGTACTTCTTCGTCGAATGGTATTTCTTAAAGAATTAACATTACGTCTCAATGTTTGTGATCGATTGACATTCATTGATGCAACACAATTGAATAATGAAATTCTCATTCATATGCCACGACTTCAAACATTAACTTTTAATATTATAACTTTCATCAAAACATTCAACGGAACAAATCGAAAGACAATCAACAACATTCAATATACATTTTACAATGGAAAAAACCATCAACTCGTTTATTACGTTGATTTTTATGCACGTGGAAAGGCTCAATCTCATATCTATTCGATTCCATATGTATTAAATGATCTGAACAATATCAGTAGCAATTTTCCTGGAGGATTATTTTCATGTGTTCATGATATATCATTAATTGATATTGAATTTCCATTTGAGCATGATTTCTTCTTGAAAATTAGTCGTTGCTTTCCATTACTTACTCATCTATTTGTCTTAAACATAGTACCACAAAAACACAAACGACCGTCTCAATTAAACACAACTGATCAAATCTCATCGATTGTTGAATTTCCTCATCTGACCAGTCTTCGTATCTCTCAGGGATGTATTGATTATATGGAGCAATTTCTTATTGATACGAATACACATTTACCACATCTTGTTGAACTTAATATTCATTATGAACATTTATTAATTGTAACAGAAAATTTCACTCGTGATGCAACACGTAGAAATTGTGTCAATGTAGAACATTTGATTTCCGACAGATTATTGGTACATTCCAAAGATTTTTATTTATACTTTCCTAATTGTAAATAAAATTTTATTACAAAATATTTCAGAAAATCTAAATATAACAAATAACTTAAAATCATAATCAGTAAGCAATATATATTTTTATCATCCAAAAACACAAGATCACGAAATATGAAAATTTTCTCCTAAATGTCAAACAACAATCTACTTTAAACTGATTGGCAATAAAAAAAAGATTTCAGATGAGATCATTTTGTATTACGATTGATGTCTAAGACAAATGTACAGAGAATCAAACAAAATTGATTCGTAATGTAGTAAATATTCGATTGAACATGCGCGATCTCAAGTGATCATTTATTATTTGTTTTTTTTTTATGAATAGTCTTCGATTTGTTAAGGATGGTATTTTAACAAAAAACAAATAGTTTTGAATCAGTATCATAAAAATTGTTCCATTGACTTTTAAAAATTTGAAATAATGACCTAATTTTCAAACCGAAATAGTAATAGAAATATGTAACTATGCACAAAAGACACAAATATTGAAAATCGTCTGGAAATTGTTTTTAATGAATATTCATAGAGACTAAAAATGTAACTATGTTTTCATGGCTTACACTAAATTTTAGATTCAAATTTAAAGAGTTGTCATACTGTCTGAAATATAAGAATATTTTCTGAATTTTGAATATTTTTCTCAACATTTTGTGATATTCTGATTTTCTTCAGAATTCTAAACTCTTTTAGATTAGGAACATAAATTTATTGTTATTGTTACCCTAGTGAATGTACTAAGTGAAGGCCACCCAAAAAACAGTACCCTGCTATTAGTATGTCACAAGATCTGTTGAGTACTAAAGTACAGTCAATTTCCGTAATTCTATCGAAAAAATTTTACCATTTTTTGTTTCAACTACCTTTCAACTATTTTACATCAGATCAAAAATATTTTTAGATATAGGTAATCTCGGAATTCTCTTCTTTCCAACAATATATATTGTTCGCCTTTTATTTCACACCTTTTCATAGAAAAATCACTGGTCTACAAAAAGCAGTTGCACCAGACAGAATTAGGCAGTAGTTCCCTAATTCTGATGCTCCTAACAAATTACATAGAAAAATTCAACTTTACGAAAAAAAATGTTTTTACCGTGTTTTTTATAAGAAATGGGTGTGGTTGTGATTCATCTTTCAGTGCATACACACATCCACACCCCAAGATAGTGTATCATAGTACTCAATTGAGTATCTGATCAGTATCTTCTCGTACCTACTTACTAAACATTTTGTTGTAGGCTTACTTTTCGATTGCCCTTAACTTAGTGTATCCTTTAGGGTTGGTATGTGATTAAAAGCTAGTTTTTCATCATTTTGGTATATTTGAGTACTAACAATATCATATTTATGAATAATAAGCTTTAATGAAGAATTCCTGATTGATTGAACACTTGCTATTTTCTTTGTTTAAAAAAGATATCTTAAAAATATCATATATTAATATTACTGCCTATTCGTATAATTCATTTTAGAAGTTTATATTGTATCATGTATCCATGAAAAAGTAAATTTTTATTAAAATAAAAAATTAAGTCCAAGAAGAAACTGTTAATAGAAAATGTTAGTTTATATTGAACAGAAGAACACACTTGCTTAAGGAAAATTTTTATCCTATATACAATAGTGCAATATAAAACACGTCACCAGTAGTTTATGGATGTAGTCTAAAAACTGGGTGTGGGGTGTCGGTGTGAGTGTAAGTATAGAGAAAATGAATACTAACACCCACCCACACCCTCGACAAGGTATAGTTCTATGATCAAGTCATGCGGCTGTTTTAACTACATGCTTTATGTGTAGATAGTAATCAACCAATCTATTGGACTGAATATCATATTGACGGCATCAAATATGAACACCAATGGACAAGATGTTACTTGACAAAATCAAAACGATCGTAGATTGTATTATTATACAACTGTGATTATGTTAGAAAGGCATAATTGAATCCTGTATCCGTGAAGTAAGACAACAGTGAATCAGGGAGATGGAGGAGTAATGAGAATAGATGGCACTAATGAAAGCAATCAAGATGATTGATCAGCTTGGTTGTTCAACTTGCAAATGAATGAAACATACGCGAAAAGACCTTGCAAACAACAGTGGTCAAGCAACAGGTGACGATCTAACGTAGTTACCATACTCTTGTGACTTGAGGATTGATTAATTGAGCACTGTCTTTGTGACAGATTGCATATAATCATTGACAATATATTGACAAGACAGTGTCTATGGAGAATGAAGAATGAACCACATGAATAGATTTTTGGAACAGATAAATATTTAGGAGGTTGCTTTAATTCTTCTCCAATTATATATGTCGAATAAATGTGAGAGTGATATATTCAACTGAGTTAAATAGAATTAATCATGAATTAACAAGCTTAACATTGATAGAAGAAGATATTCAAGAATTAGCTCGAGAATAAGGATGGTATATGCATTCTCACCATCGAGGTAGTAAAACACAGGCATAAAAATCAATTAAAAGCAGCGTTATTTTGATTAAAATAAAGGGTGTTAGTAAAGAAAATTTGTCATATGTAAAATATTTTCATGAAAATTTATTTGCTTTAATTGCCAATGAGTTCATCAATTTGTTTCAGACTATAATCAACAGTGTCCGATGGTCTGATAAAACCACTAAAGTGTTGTTCTAATGTCTGTTCGAGATCGACTAAAAAGAAACAAATCGTTCGAGTATTTCCCATTATTTCACTCAGTTCAAAGAAGAAGCATCTCTTGCTTATTTCTATTGACAGAAATGTAAAACTATCTACTCACATTCTTTGCTCAGAAGGTCCAATTCTTCGTGCATTTCAATAATACGGTCTTGATCATTGAATAATACAATTTTGAATAATTTTTTGTAATATATTATCGCTTTTTCAGTTTCACCATTACTGTCAAGTTCGTGTCCACGAGCTAACAAATGTTTTGGATCACGAATAGTACCCGCAAATGGTAGCGCAATCTCGTCTAAAGTTTCCCTTAGCTTCTGTTTTGTCATTAACTGAATTTTAACAGACCAGCGAGTCGTTTTTGATTTCTCAACTGAGAGTATGCCGAAAGAACTATTCCAGAAAAACAATGTTTCACGTGAGTCATCCGTGCCTGACGAGTTCGAAACATAAACAAAAGGTATAGCAGCTTGATTGGCAGTGTCAAGATCGACAATCTCAATCAATATATCATTTTTACCGTCTGAAATACAATTATAAAGTAAGAAAGTTGTCGAGAGAGGGTTATGGAACGAGAGAATATCGCCGACATTTCTAATAAATGTGTCAACGCCAATCAAGTCTGAGACATTGAGATAAGGATATACAACTTAAATGAGAGATCTTAGTTGGATTTGATTACGATATAATGATGCCAAATGATAATGAAAATCCACAATAAGAAAACGTAGATCGAATATATCGTCCATATTTCCCGTCAGAAACGCTTTGTTGAACAGGCTGTATATATGCGGTATTTTGGTGCACCACCAGACTGCATCAGCCGAAGAGTATTTCCGACGAAAATTAATAATTTCTCTTTGTGCCAAAGGATCATTCGAATATAAATCTATAAATCTCGATATTGTTTTATCAATTTCTCGTTCTGACAGCCGGACCAAATTAAGAATGACGTTGACTAAAAGTTGATTCCACAAGAAACTGACCTCTTCTTTACTTACTGAGTCTGGATGGTGATATGTGTCAATTGCCAGTGCATTTCTTTCAGATCTTAAAGATTCAGTTGATGAAGAAACAGAATTGCAACATCCTGTTGCTAATAAATTCTGTTTTAAGTCATCAAAAATGGCATTGATTTTTGGTAATTCAGATCTCAAGTAACGTGATACTGTCTGATTATTAAATGACTGGCACGAAATGAGGAATAACTTTTCAAAGAATCGACGTTTAATCTTCTTTATTGCACGATTCGGATCTGAATAAGTTTTCAGCAGTACACCACACTGTTGTAGTTCATATTTAATTAACTGGAGACGTAAAGGAATCTTTGGATGAGATAACACAATTAGATTTTTACGATTGTTTGATGCATAGATGCGAAAGAATCATATACAATTGATCATTTCAGGTAAACAGACAATAGATTTTTAGTAGCATAGACCTTATATGCAAGTTCAGTCAAAAACAAATTTTACGCTCGCATTGATGAGTTAGTTCAACATTTGAAATGTTTTTTCTTCAGACTAAAGACGAGAATGAATGACGTTTTTATAATTAATTAGTTTGATTTTCAGTTAGACACTCTTATAACATAAGATGTCTCGTGTATCGTTGTTTTGTTTACTAAAGAACCTCTGTCAGTTTAATATGAATAGTCATGCTTTCATTCTATGTATATAATTAAGTGGATTTAGTATTTCGGGGTGTGGATGTGAGTGTGGATGAATAGGTGACTACTACTCACACCTATATAAAAATGATATTAGAAAACATCACATAAATATAATTTTATTCTATTTTTCAACCTTTTAATTTCATTAGTTTTATATCAATATAGAGAATCAAATACCAAACATATAGAGAGCGAAGTGAAAAGAAAAACTTTGCTCAATAGTGAACAGCAAGGTTAGATTATTGTTGATGAATTGCTTTTAACTTATGAATTTAATATGATTCGTATGTTTCTACTTCATCTTGTGATG